ATTTAATTTGCAGATTGCATGATGTAGAAAGAGTACGCCTGGAAAGTTAAAAAATACATGGTATCTACCTATCTATATATATTAATTATAGCTTTGAAGTCGGTGAAAGTTGCCTAATTATATGTGAATGACTCTTTCATTAAACCACGCCAAATTATATCTAGTTTGAGCGTGATCATTATGTCACGGGTCGAGATTTAAGTTTCGAATTCGCGTAGTTTCGGGATTCGGGTATTTACCTTTCCGGCATCGCAGATCAGTCCGATCGTCACGGTTCACACTTTTGTGAGGTATTGTCTGCTTTGACTCTCTTGGTCTAATGGTTTTGTCCTACAAAAGGTATCTCACAAGGCGGAGATGGTGTGAACTTTTTTATACCCCAATGATCTTCTTATTATGTTCGATGTGGGATTCAGGACTTCTCCTTAGGTTCGTGACATTCTCTCGCACCCAACCTCGTGACACCCTCGTCACTGAGGCTGGTCACTCTGCCTACCTCCCTCGAGGTGTTTGGCGTGGATCGAACGGTTTAGGACTGGCTCTGATATCACTTGTCACGGGTCGAGACTTAAGCTCCGAACCCGCGCAACTCCGGGACCCAGACATTCATCCTTCCGGCATCTCAGATCAGCCTAACCGTCACGATTCACACCCTTGTGAGGTATTGTCCGCTTTGGCTCCCTTGGCCTAACGGTTTTGTCCTACAAAAGGCGCCTCACAAGGCGGAGATGGTGTGAATCCTTTTATACCCCAATAACCTTTTTATTATGTTCGATGTGGGATTCAGGACTCCCCTTATATCCGTGACAATTACACCAGCCCGTACATTACTAATATAAATATTAAAACGTTTCCAACCTTATTGTTTCAACTCATAGCCTTGAAATTTCATCTCAGACAACTAAGCTGTAACTTTTCCATAATGGGTGGCAAAGGTGGGAGTGGCGGTGGTAGCAAAGGTAGTGGAGGAGGCAGTGTCAGTAAAGGTGGGGGCAGTGGTGCTGCTGGAAAAGGTGGAGGCGGAGGAGGCGGGGTTTCGGGAATGATGGTAGCTCCGAGGAGTGGAGGGGCAACATTTATTTCGAGGGGCTCTTTGGAAAGCAACCCCCAGGGTTACTTCTCTGGCCTCCATTCAAGCGGAAAGGGCAACAAGTAAACGTTAATTCTGGGAAAACATCCATCATCTTCATCATGTGATTGTAGTTGTACATGATTAATAAATAAAATTATCTTTGGGAAAATGGCAGTATCTCTTTTTTTCAGCATTACACTCTACTTGCTTATCTTTAAATTATTGACTTCACAACATTAAATGCTTATCTTCTTTGTCTGTTGTACTGCTTCAACTTCCGCCATACCCACATTCCAAAGCTGCAATTATAGTTCCCATGTATGAATCGCTTTTGTCAACTCTATCTTTAGTTCTATGGCTTCCATGCATAATTCTAGAACCAAAAAAATATAAAAAAAGAAACAGAAAAATGTTAAAATATTTGACAGTTCAACTGCAATCCAGTTGTCTACTGCGCGATTTATCATTGAAACAAAAAAGAAAAAAAAAAAAAACCCATGAAATGATTTATTAGTTGTTTCCAGTTCAGTTGGGAGCCGATTAAAGAGCTCACACAGCAACAACATGTGCGATTTATCATTGGATTTCCTCTAATTAAACTTTCAAATGTGTCTTTGATTTGTGAAATAAGAGAAGACTTTCTTTTTTTCATTTTAAGAATTAAACTTATTGTTTTGCTTTCAAAAAAATTAATTACTCTTTTCTAGGAAATTTTTTTTTTGTTAAATTAACAATTAATTGCTATGCAAGATTACAAAATGTGTTGAAAATTGACGCGGATATAGATTGTATATATTTTATTAAGTGGATTAATTAGTGGGGTCTTATACTTGAAAAATTAGTAAAGCCAGCGATAAGTGAAGTAATGCTTAGTGCCTTTTGCTATCATGAGAAGTGAAGAAGATACACATATGGTATGTACTGAAAATATATTGAAGCCAATATAAATGTAATGTGTTGGACAAGAGGAAGCCGTGCTTTAGCCCAGGTGATGTTTTGCACTTTAACTTGGCTTTAAAGTTGGTAACGCATGGATTTCAGCCTTAATTAGTCAAGTGGTATACATAACTTGGTTAATTCAAAATTTAATCAAATTAAATTCAGATGATTAATTTCTTGAAGTTAATAAATTTATTCGATTAATAAAAATAAAATAAAATAATTTTATTTTGAATAATTTTATTAAAAATTAATCTTATTATTCGATCTAAATAAATTCGTACCTACACTTAAAAGAGAGCAAACATTGATTTCAATCATCCTTCACTTTCCTCTCTTTACCATCAACCACTTTTTAATTTTACATTAATTTACTTTATACAAAGAACAAACACTAAATGATTAAAACAGATAATAATCCTATTAATAATCCATTACAAATAAAAGCAATGAATACATAAATGCCCTTAAAACGATTTTTTATTATAAGTTCTACCTTTATTTCTGCTTGGACTGTTACATTTGGCATAATTTAGTGTTGTTTGTGCCAAAACCGAAATTATTTTGCCAATTAATTTGTTGAATTGATAAGGTTTGAATTTAGATTCAAATACTGCTAATAGCATTTTTTTATTGATAACGATATATAAATTTAATATAAATTATTTCTAAAAATTACAATTTACCCTTAACTCAAATTTTTTTTTAAACAAAAATGAAAAGATGTCCCATGTAAATATAAGTTGCTTAATATTAATTTAGAAGAGATAAGGTTGAAGTTGAAGCCTTGGTTAACCTAGGACGAGGATAACATTGATAACTGTGAGATTGGCAGTCATCGCATGAAATTGGTGATGGATAGTTAAACAAAAAAAAAAAAGAAAAAAATCAAAAGAAAATAAGGAATGGTTGAAGAAAGAGGCAAAGGCTGCATGCAATGTTGGAGTGCAGAGTGTAATTGCTGCCTTGGAGGAAAACAGGTGAATTCATTTACTGCTTTTCAACAACCAACCATACCTCGTATATTTAACCCCAATTCAGAAACCAACTTCTCGACCCCTATGCTCACTGCTTACTTCACCACTCTTTCTTTATTTCTTTCTGATTTCTCCACTCTCTTCAGAGAAGTATGGCGTTGTGGATATTATGCCTGCTTGTTGTTTTAGGTATGGGGTTCAACATGGTTTCAGGACAAGGAGAAGACCCTTTTGGACCAGAAGGTGGGAGGAGAAGAGAAATGGTGCCTGCCATGTTCATCTTTGGAGACTCTCTCATTGACAATGGCAACAACAATGACCTTCCTTCTTTTGCCAAGGCCAACTATTTCCCTTATGGCATTGACTTCAATGGCGGGCCTACTGGTCGTTTCTCCAATGGTTATACCATGGTTGACGAAATAGGTCTGTAACTGATCTTTCTCTTCCATCTCTTCCGTTAGTTACTTCTCACTAATTGAACAGAAAATGAATGTGTATGCACATTGCACATGCAGCTGAACTGCTAGGACTTCCTCTGATTCCTGCATACTCTGAAGCTTCTGGCGACCAAGTGCTTCATGGTGTCAACTATGCATCTGCAGCTGCTGGAATCCTTGATATCACTGGAAGAAACTTCGTAAGCATTTCCTTTCGATGCATGTATCCATGATTATCCACATTTCAATCTTGCTTATGTTACTCAGTGACGTGAAAAAGAAAAATAGAATTATATTATTTATGGTGATATTGGATGTTAGGCATTTAATACTCTTCCAATTTTCTAGAGACACTTCCCATACTTCTCAGTAACAGTGCATTAAATATAGGCTGCACCTCCATGCATGCAGTCTTGCCGCTGAAGCCTTAACTGCATTAATTTAGCTGAGTAATTATATTATAACTGCTTAATTATAATAGACGACAAGCGGCCTATATTCGAAACTATTAATTAATGGCAATACAAAATCAAGAAAAATAAGCTCTTTAGAACATCTGCAGTGTGGTTTCTACTTGTAGTACACTAGTTAGTATATTCTAAAGTTAATGCACTTATATTTTAATTAAAAGTTTATCTGTTGTACATTATAAATGAATCTGTGTACGACTTCAGAATTTAATTTCTTTTATCTTTTGCATGGTGCAAAATTTTATTATGCAGTTTCAATAAACGATAACATGCAATGCAAGTAAAGGTCTTTAAAGCAAACATGTAGAGTTAAACCCTAGTTTAATTCGTTTGTTTCATGTATATCACTTTTAAGAGATGACATATCTGAGATTCAAATATCAATACCTACCACTTATTTTTTATTTTTAGAATACGACATTCTTTATAGTAAAACATGTAGAGTTGATTCTAATGCATAATAGTATATTATTTCATATCTATAAAAAAGAGAGAAGAGGGATTTGTTAATTGAAGTTCTCTTGTATTCAGCTGTCTGCAGTTCAAAATGGAAAAAAAAAAATCAATTAATGTTCTGTCACTCGAATTTGTTTGGTGCTTATTAAAGCGTGACGTTGGTGAGTAAAATTTCTAATAGTTCAAGTTTTGTGGGAGGAGTAAATACTAAATACATTGCTTAGTTTTAAATCACTAGCATTTCTTACATGTTCTAGTTGGTAACTTTGTATATTTGCTTTGATCAGTGGGCCGAATACCATTTGATCAACAGATTCGGAATTTCCAGAACACCCTGGATCAGATTACAGACAATCTTGGGGCAGTTGATGCAGCACAAGCACTTGCTCGCTGCATTTTCTTTGTTGGAATGGGCAGCAATGACTACCTTAACAACTATCTTATGCCCAATTACCCAACCCGAAACCAGTACAATGGCCAACAATACGCTGATCTCTTGGTTCAACAATACACTCAGCAACTCAAGGTATGATTTCACACTTAAGCATTAATTGGCCAATTACCATTGTATGCAGTGGCGGATCCAAATGGGAAAGTATAGTGTCCATGAACATTGTAGAAATTGAAATACAAGAAAATTTGAAAGAATTTTTTTATTGAACACTACGATAAAATTGATAAATCCATCGATATTTTATATTTATATTATAAGTGTATACATCCGAAAAAAGTCCTGGATCCTTCACTGACAATGTTGCCTGTTCTACCATCTTGGTATGAGAAAAGAGAAACCACAATTCGTTGCTTTGTGATGTGCAGACACTATACAATCTTGGAGCACGTAAGTTTGTACTAGCAGGGTTAGGACGAATGGATGTATCCCAAGCATCCTAGCACAGAGCACAGCCGGAAGCTGCTCAGAAGAAGTGAACCAGCTTGTTCTACCTTTCAATGCAAACGTGAAGGCAATGCTGAATAGCCTTAATGTTAATCTACCGGGTGCAAGATTTATCTATATCGAGATTGCTCACCTTTTTGAAGATCTCATTGCCAATTCCAAAATATATGGTAACTTATAATTTGAAGTTGAATTTTTGGTGATATATAGAAATTGATAGCAGTCCTTCCAAATTGGCATGACACTTCCTGTTCCGTGCATGCAGGATTTAGTGTTGTAAATAGAGCGTGCTGTGGAATCGGACGGAACAGAGGGCAGATTACATGTCTTCCCTTCCAGATGCCATGTGAAAATAGAGATCAGTACGTGTTTTGGGATGCGTTCCATCCAACGGAAAAAGTGAACATCATAATGGCAAGGAAGGCTTTCAATGGGGATACAAGCATTGTTTATCCCATGAACATAGAGCAGCTTGCCAATATTGATATTGAGCCAAATTAGTACTACATGCCCTTAATTGTCATGTCTCTATATCTGCACTTGATTTTCTTCTTGATTGGAAGCAGGAACTTCTATGATTAACAAAAAAAAAAAAAAAAAGCAATGGTTTTGCTTGTATTGCTACTTCAATATCTCCTCTATCGTTTGATTTGGCATCATATCTGTTTATTATCCGTCTATATATAAGCAAACAATTGTCAATTTAAAGAAACAACGAACGGCATTTATATAATTGATGGAATTTGGCTGGACTTGCATCTTGAGGTTCGAGATCAATTTGAGATCCAGTCCTTGTAGATTCAAAACAAGTTCTAATTTTTGTAAATTCGAAACATTTTAAGTTTTGATTGTTTTGAGTTTTTGATCGTCTAATTTTTTATCATTTTAAATTCAAATCAATTTGGGC